CTGGACGCAAGTTTTCTAATATTGGAGAACTCCTAGACTCGTTTCGTATAGAATTAGCCGGTCTGGGCTGAGGATGATCGACAATACTCACGTTCGAAGTTGGTTGCTGAGCTGTGGAGCTGCCTAGTTGAGCTGTAAAAGCAGACAAAATATTTTGGAATCCTGACTGTAAAGTTTGGGTCAGGGAGGCTGTTTGTCTTTTTGTGGCTGCTGCCATTGAATCAGAAATTGACTGCTGTATTTCGCTTACCGTGGGGGATACACGAGAGCATGCATCTGGCTCGACTGCCAAAGGCGGAACACTTGGCGGACGAGGATTCTTCGACATGGTGCCTTGGGACAAAATCTCTTCTGGGGGCCCTTGACTTCGGGTTCCAATTGGCATAGTAGCTATCGTCGGTTGCTTTGCGAGGGCGTCGTCTACCACACATGGGTTAGATGGTGAAATTGTTGTTTTGCAAACAGGACAAATATTTTTCTTTCCTACTCTAGTATTATAGCATGCACGATGGAATGTGTGCTCGCAACTGGTAGCTACTAATTGTGTAGAAAACTCGATCGTTTTGAGGCAAATATAGCACTGTTAATTATTAATCGAAGCAGCTGCTAAGTTTTCGCAACTGCGATGTATTGACATTTCCGACCTACGCTTAAAATAAAATACTAACAAGAATTAAAATTACAAAAAAAATAAAAGGTGCAAAATCGATAAACAGATCGAAAATATAGAACAATATTTCATAAAAATGTGTGGATGCCATGCAGTCGTTTTCACGAAAGGTTATAATCTGCATCAGCTTCAAAACTGATCAACTAATACAAGAAAGGGTATAGGGATGAGAAAACAAAAATTTAATAATTAAGCGGCAAGTGCCAGTTCTAGTAACTAATATCTTCTTGCTTTCTCAACAACAGATAATGGTTAGGTTGAGAGCCGGCTTAGTCTTATGATGTGACCAGTACGAGATCAAAAAGGCAAAAGACAACAGTTTGATCCACTTGGTATAACACACGTCAGTAAGGCTCCAGAAGCTCTCTCATAAGAAGAAAAAAAAGATTAAGATGCAAGGGATAGCCGTTGCCTAGGTAACGACTTAATATGAAAGTACTGCTAACTCCATAGCGCAACAGAAGGGTATAATTGAATCGGTGTAGCAGTAATCGGGATTGCCGCTGCACATTTCTCCGCGTATAACAAATATCCAAAGTCTACTACGCACGACCAAACAATCATACTGGGATTTACATTGTTTTGTAATTATAGATCACGGAGTTATAACAATTTAAAGTTAAAACGCATCCAGTTACTCTAAACAAAACATGTGTTATTCGCTATAATAAGTCTTGGCAGTTACACTAATTAAAGTCTGTAGCTGATCCAAAAGAAAAACGTATTGCAAATAACACGATAATGGGTAGTGACGAAACAAATCGAACTAGCTGTGTACTGTCAGGTATTGTTGAAAAATGTAAAGATAATGGTTAGTCGGGACCAGCCAGAGTGGCTGCTTCATGCCCCTTAGTTGGGCGCCGAATATATAAATATATGATATATACTGTAACATACAACGTATGTAAGCGAGCTGATGTCCGTGTAGCGTGCAGTGAAGTCGGCTGGGATGGGTTGACTCATAAATGGCTAAGCTACCTGCTCGCAAGCTCTTATAATTATATATAAAAATTTCGCGTGCTAATGTCTAGTTCGATTGCACAAACAAAATTACGGTGGTTAGGAAAAAATCTACAGAGTTACTGAAATTGTATTAGATTGATTAGGGACCGTAGCTGTAAATGTTGTTGTTATGCTGCGCTGGTATCAATGCGACAGCTGTTGCCCACCCTACCATGATCACCGGGGCCGCTTGACCAGACAAATGGTCGGTGATCCCTAAAACAACACAGATTACATTACCCTAACATTCCGACGACGCAAGGCTCCAACATAAATAAGGCAAATTAGCACATAATTATAAGTTCGTTACACATATTTATTTTTGGGGTGAATTGGGGAGTTAAATCGAAATTTTTCTTAGCCATTAAACATTTTTTTTTTCGTATTTTTATAGTAGAAAAGAAAAGAAGATTAATAAAAAACTTATATTACACATAGATAAAGAATTTTTAGGTGAGGTTCTAATTTGGTCTATGACCCAAATTGGTAAAAGCAAAAACTATTCCTTTCTTTTTTTTTTGTTCGACAAAAATTCATTTAAATTTTTTAATTCATTTAGCGAAAGCTGTAACGCTCACTTGAAATAGATTATTCTCTTAACGTTTTCTCTTTACCGATTTTTTTTTTTTGCTCTTAAACGCGGCATTAAATTATCTATTAAATTGTTATTAGGCCATTCTCTTTTGATTTTCTCGAAAACTAAGTGCAAAGAAAAATAAAATTTAAGAGTTTTTTTTTTTTTTTGCTTCACTTACATGCATTCACTGCATCTCCGAAAGCGCTTCCATCGATGTAATGTGCGATGATCTGCTGAAAAAAAAATCACTTCGAATTGCACACCAAAAAAAAAATTTAGCAAAAAAAATAAAACAAAGAAGGCGCTAGATAACAAAATTATTTTTCGAACTTCATGTGACTTGTATTCTCTCTCTTTCTCTTTAAAACTGGCTCTCACCAGCAATATGGCGATCCGAATTTCGGAGCATGGAAGGAGAGAAGGAGAGATAAAAATAGGCCAATGGAAAGAATATGTAAGGCAAGAAAAAACGGAGTTAAAGAAAAAAAAAATGCGGAATAAGAATTTGAATTTGAATTTGCACTCTTTTACCGAAAAAAAAAAAAAGAAACTCGCACATACCTAATGTAAAATTTTAAATTATGCGCTTAAGGCGGATTGACTACGCCCATGGTGTTCACAATAGGACTTATTCAGTTTTTTTCACTTTTTTTGTTAGCTAAGCTAATTATTCATTTTTCCAGCAAAAATATAACACTAAAAAAAGTAAGATTTCGTTTCGCTTATAAAAAAAATTATTGCGCCACCAAGATAAACGTAGCTTACTTTGACGACGTCAGCCACCAGGGAACGATTTCCAACTAATTTTTGGAGTTTCGGCGACGGCGATCGTCTCTTACTAATTCGTCTTTCGAACTCCCATTTTCGAGCAGGCTAGAGAGCACGAAACGAAACAACGAGATTTGACGATGCGAAAAAGCTAGACGCAGCTGGTTAAGCTATTTGCGACAAGCCGAATTAACGATGACAATTACAGGCGCTCTGCATATTTTGGGCTTCGGCAGGCAAAAAAAGAAATGTTTGCCGATGCTACTTGCAGAAAGTCGAAAGACTATAATATCTCATTATATTTTGTTGATGAGAATATTACGAAGCGCCATACCTGCAATAGACAGGTTGTAATATAAGTGCTTTTAAGTCTTTTGGTTCAACAAAAAAACTGTCTAGCAAAAATCTAACTTACCCCTGATTGGGTCTGGCACTTTTTTATTTTTTTGTTTTCTCAATTAATTTGCGACCAACTGGCGGCTGAGAAGTGGTTCATCAGTGCGGGCACTTAGAATTTTTTCTGTTTTTTGAAATTACTTCTATTAAAAATAATGCTTCCAAAAATACTGTTTCTCAGAGGTTAAGCGCGATTGTAAATAGGCACTTTCTTACTTTTTTTTTTTTTGTGAGTCAGCCTTTCTCCACGGTGGACCAAAGGTAAAAGAAAAGATCTGAGCTCCGATCGGCTTAAGGAAAACTATTTACAGCGACACCAGGACAGACGCCATTTCCAATTATCAAATTAACATTCCTCTACTATTTTTTTCTCTTTCACTCGTTACAAGCGATATTACGCCCGGGTTGAGCCATAGATGGCGAGATCTACTAGGGGAAGCAAGGTACAAGACGTTGGCTGGATTTACATTGTCTATTTTTGGGCTGTTTATTTAAACTCAAACAAATTGTTCTTGCTTCAAGCGCCACTACATAATCTTTTGTAACGATGTATTTTAGAAAAGGGGAAGGAAAGGGGTTTAAAAAAGTAAAGAAATTTGAAATAAGCTATAGACTAAAAAGGATGTATTCTTAATAAGATATAGAGATAGTGATGGTAAATCACCGACCCAGTCGTAGCTGGAAATGATCAGTGAGTTCCGAAAGATTGTACGTGGTACAATCTACTACTACAATTAGAGCAACGTTTAACGAAGCCAAATACACCTTTGGCCTTATTATCAATGATAGCTAGATGGCGATTGAAGCAGAGCTTAGAATCAAAAATAACGCCTAGGTCATTAGCTGTTATTACATATAGGATTATTGTCGATTGTAAAGCTGATACGATAAGGCCTAGTACGATTGAAGTTCATAAACATATACTTTAAACAATTTAGATGGAATGGATTAGCAGCATTAAACATTAGAGTCGCAAAAAGTTCAAATCATCACGTAAATAAGAATCATCATCTGCGTGGAGTGTGAGTATGCTGAGTGAATGTGATATATTTCCGTTGTGCAATTAATTCAATTAAGAAAAAATAACACAATTTCTTATAATACTTATAAGGCAACCCAACATTCTAAAATTAACGACGTTGCGCCTTGTGTGTGCAGTCATATATCAGCCGGCAGTGTCCGCAAGTTTCTAGTCCTTCATCGGCCACAAAAGTCGTTGACGGTGTATCATAGCACACCAGTTATGCGAGCTTAGCTTGTGAGTCACTCTGTTGCCGGATCAAGGAAGGAAGATAACCATCCCACTCAATCTATAAGCCTGGTGATCTGTAAAGCGACTCAAATATGTATAAGACTACTCCATTTCGATGTCGGAGAAGGCTCAGAGTAAAATATCTGTATCTACTCTCCCAGGATGGCTTCTTCAATCTTTATGAAGTCAGCTCATAGTAGGTGGTGTTTTAGATGTATAGGCCCAGCCTTGACATTTGAGGTCCATTTGTGTAATCGCTTTAAGTATTTGCACCGTCAATAACATTGAATTAGTGACAGTGTAGTCTCATATACATTAATATACAATACAACCCACAGACTTTATAGGTAAGAACAGAGCTTACACAATTTTTATTTCTTAATTATAAACAAAACATATATAGTTATGCTCATTCAAATACGTTCTATGTTGACTGTATGACTAATTTATTATATATGAAAATCCTCGCTAAAGTTTGCTCGACTATACAACGCCCTTTTAGCTGTCTCATCTTTCTGAACACAGCGACAATACCCGCGTCTATAAAATATTACACCAGATATAGTAATGGGCACTGCTAAGAGAACGCACACTATTATGACAATCCAGACCAGACTGCCATTGCGTGAAGATCCTAATAATTTGTCATTTGCAACATTTAAAACCTCCACGCCTTTCAACTGTTGTGGAAGTTCACATTTAACATTTGTTGCTAGAAGTGGCGTGCTGTTGTTTATTCTTTGAATTAAGTAATTTATCATAAACTCGTTAGAGGCATCGCAATTCCATGGGTTAAATCGAAGATCTATTACGTAAAGTTTATCCCAGCGAACAATTAAAGTTCTTGGCAATGCAGTTAGATTGCAGTTATTTAAATAAAGCTGTCATAAAATAAAACCAGTTAATAATATATAATTTAAAAAAATGTTATTCTTTACTTTACCTTTTCAAGCGGGGGATAATCCAAAAAGTTTGCCCCTGTAACATTTTTCGCTAAGGCATATTCATCGATTTCTGTAAGCATCTTGTTATCACTTAAAATTAATTCTGTTAGATCTTTTGAAAATATAACAAAGGAAAATGGGGTAATTGGTATATTTATATATATAATTTGGTATGCTTCTTGCATGCATGTTCTTACTTTGTAGGTTATTCAGTGCTCCTTGTCCAATTTTGTACAGTTCGGGCATATATGAAATACTAAGGTATTTTAAGTAGGTCATCGCAGGAAAAACACTTAAAAGCAATAAAATATTTTAATTTAATCTCAACAGTACATCTTTTAAGATTACCTACTTTTCTCCTTCTAAGTTTGTGATGGGATTTTCATCTAAAACAAGGCGCTTTAAGTTCTTCGCATACGAAAGAGCTTTAGGTACTTGATTAAATAGATTTCCTGATGCTATTAGGGTCTCCAGTCCTCGAGGTCCATGAAAAATTGTTTCAGGCAATGTTTTTAGTTCCATGTACGACATATCCAAAACCTTGAATACCAAATAAACATATGCATATTGTAAGCTGATTTGTTTTTTAGATTATTTGCTTCATGCTAATAGTTTTCTACGATGAAAGTATAATTTAAAAATAGCTTTTGAAACAGTTAACTTAAGAGCTCTACATGTAAAATAATGAAATGCGCGAGTTATCAATTTGTTAAAAACGCCAACTTCTGCTGACACATTGCATCAGTTATTTATTTACAAATTATATTTTATTTGTTACAATTCTATTCTGAATTAAATTGTATGCTTATAATTATTTAAACTGCATGCTAAAAGAGCTAAGTGGGGACAGAATGTGGTGATATAATAAAGCTGTATAAATGTTACAGTGAAGAATTCTCTCCAAGTCCTTAGGAATAGCAGACAATTTTAAGAACGAAGTGGAATAAAACACGATATTTTTATAAGCCAGGGAAAGATGCAGTGTAATCTGGTTTACAAATTGCTAAACCCCAGTACCATCAGGACCCGGCGAGTTCACCTTTTTAATTATGTGATGGTTGCCTTCAGTTGGAAATAACTAAAAAGGATATAATGATTTTGCATGTAACTGACAGCGCATCTCCGACAGGGAGCATCTCCGACCCCAGAAAAAGAAATATAAGACCTAGAGACTTGAAGTTTTGAAGTAAGGTCCTCCTAGAACTGTTAGCCTAGCGTTTATTAAATGCATTTTTATTTAATAAATTTTTATTTGATTAATTTCCCATTAAACTAATTGTTTAATAATTTATTTTAAATTAATAAGTTGCATTCAATTAGTAATTAAATGCATTCAAATAAATTAAAAAATTGTTTGAAGAACAACGGTTGAAGGGTTAGCTTTACAGATGCATTAGAATTTGATGGTAAAAGATCATGATTTAGGCTACACCTAGACCTAGGTATACATCACAAAACTGACGACCAACGACAGACCTATCTAGGGCCCGCTCCACCATAAACTAATATCAAATAAAGAACCAAAAGTTGAAATCCATTTCATCCAATTTTTTACGAGGGAACCTGTGATATACATTTTTCATTCAACAGTGAAAGTGTGACACACTTTTCAGATTCAATTTAATAAAAAACTGTGTAAATTAATTTGAAGCGCATCTGATAGTATGTCACAAAAGTGGGCAGTTATCCTACATGTAAGGTTAATCTTTTAATAAATGTTTGTCTATTGTATTTTGTATTTGTATTGAATACTGCACTGCACTGAACAATAATATTATTTTCCAGTCCTTACAGTATTTATTTTTTTTTGGCCTCAAACTAATATAATTGACAGTGTCAAAGAAGCCACTTATTGTGCAATAATAAATCATTCTAGAGCAAGTAATATAAGTATTGCAATCAAACAGAAGCAGGAAAAGTTAAAGTGCCCTTAAATGTAATGCAACAAAGTTCATATTTTTAAAGACACTAGAAATTATTACCCAAAACTTCAGGTTGTTTCCATACAAGCAGTGGCACAAAAAATTAAATTCATTTTTGGATTTTTGTATTTTTGGATTTAGTCCTGTTCTTTATCAATGTGTCATTACTTCCATTTTGTAAACATTTTTATTTTGGCTGTCACATTCTTTGATTTAAATATAATCGCATTAAGAAGCATAGATCAGAAGTCAACCATAACTGATTTCGAAGTTTTTTTAAAAGAACTACATCTGTTCCTCCTTATTAACCGCAAAAATTACCTCTTGCCTTCAGCAAAGCACGACTTTTTAGATAGCTCGTTCGACCATTCACAGTTTGGAATCAATTAAATTTCTAATCAGTTGAATATATTACTTGATCTTGTATTTGTCAATAATTACCATATAGCTAATGGACCAGGGACCAATTCTCTTTCTGCTTTTAAGGATGCATATCATATAACTTTAGATGTTGCATAGTTCAATCCTCTTAGTTCTTAATGAACAGTGACCAACAAGTTCCTCTGTTTTTTTCACAAAATAAGCTCTTCCTTGGTTATCCAACATATGAATGCAACCAACTAGTCTTAATAACCTGAACCCATTGACAATGGGTAAAATAAATGTATGTAACAGGCTGAGAAAGCATTTCCGACCCCTTTAAAAATATATTTATTATTATATACATATATATATTGATTAGCATCATTGAAAAAACGTTTGCCACAAACGAGCGATAACTTTTTGCCATTGTTTGGACATTAAGAAAACTTCAGATATTTTTATACGGAATAAGAAATTAGAACATTTTTTAGACCATCAGTCTCTAGCAGTTGTAGTACCGGAAAAGAAACCGAATAAGAACCAGAATACGCCCCAGAAGACTCTGTAGACTCAGATGTGGTCTCAGTGCACAGTGAGGAAACTCTTATACATATGATTGAGCTTTCAGAAAGACTGGTAGGCTGCTATATGAACAAACTAGTAATTGAGGAAGATATAAATATTAAATATAAACTTAATTTTTCAAGTTAAAAACAAAAATAGACATGCCGTTCAATTTTCTAACCTTAACATTCTTTTACAAACCAAACTAGACGTTTTATAAGCGTACGTAGTCAACGCAGCACATTGAGAGATGCCTGCGCTTATCCAACATAAGTCAGTTGAAGCATTCTCTAAAACCACATTCAAATACCTTACAAATATTTTAATATACAAAACTGTAAGAAATTTCAACAACGGAGCATAACCGCGCTCATCGCGGAGATCAAGTGATCATGAAACATACTCAACGATATTATTTCTTCCCCAATATGAGCCGGTTACAACGAAAATAGCTGTATATAGGGTATATGAGGAAAAGTATAGTCGTTACCATACAAAACAACCGACGAGGAAATACTTCATGTTACTTGTATTCCGCGATGAGAAATACTTCCTGACCTGCGTCGATAAGTTTTCTACATTTTCAGTGGTCCAAGCTATTCTTTCACGTGTAATCGTAGTCAATAAAGCTCTGATCTTACAACTAATAAACATGTTTTCGAAAACAAAAAGAATTTAATGTGGCAATGAAAAGTCGATCAATTCATAGTTCCATAGTACCCTCTAAATTATTGGCTGCTGCATGAGAATGGATAAACATTCAACCGATACTACCAATATTATCCTCATTCCAAACGTAGAATATAATAGGACAATATTTTGTGACCACAAATAACCGATCAAATGCATACATTCGATACCTGTAGACCTTACCACACAAATTAAGAAAGCAAACACATCGGCACAAGAAATCAAGGAAAAGGCTCTAGTCAGGAGCTCCCGTCACTGAACCCTCTTTTACCAACACAAATTACAGCTCGCGCTACGTGCTCGATTACTTTAGCAGTAATTAAAATATTTTATAAATTAATTGAAAATAAAAAATAGTTCCCTCGATACGTGTTGAACATAACAGACTCGCTACTTGCAGCCTCCTCTACCCAACAGCCAAACAAACAACTTACCACTGCCAAGAAATGAACCAATTAAAATATCAGCAGATGCTCACAGAACAGAAAACAATACAATCGCAGTTGCAATGCGGTTAATTTGTGCAATTTGCACTAGCTGCCGCTGACGTTTTCTTTAATAACTTCTGTAATTATACCCTGAACCCATTAAAAATGGGTATAAGGGTATATTGTATTTCTGCAAAATCCAAATGTATGTAACAGGCAGAAGGAAGCATCTCCGACCCCATAAAGTATATATATACTTGATCAGCACCAATAGCCGAGTCGATCTAGCCATGTCCGTCTGTCTGTCTGTCAGTCCGTCCGTCCGTATGTATGAACGCAAGGTTCTCAGAACCTATAAGAGCTAGAGACTTGAAATTTTAGATGTAGATGCTCCTAGTTCCCGCGCAGATCGAGTTTGTTTCCGATAATCGATAACTTACGCCCTTTCCAAGCAATCGATAAAAATCGATATCGATATCCTGTTTTTTTTGGGCAATTATGGTAAATAATAAGACTCACCAAACTTGATATATAGCTTCTAAAATAAAATATATATATGTATTTGTTGTTGGAAGAATAGGATTCAGGGTATCCCCTAGTCGGGAGCTCCCGACTAGAACCTCTTAATTGTTATTAACTGATCTTGAAGCAATTTTAAACAGTAGATCTTATTGTGCTATAGAGTATTTCTCAAAAAGTCAAATGCATTAAAATTGTGTCTTAAATTGCTTGGTAGTTCAAATTGTTTAATTACTTGATTTGTAGCTATAGTGTGTACGCGACTCCAGCTCTTATAACTTACGATATTTGCTCAAAAAACAGGAGTTTGATATTGATTTTGATCAGTTTTTAAGGAACAGGGCAAGCTATCGGCTATCGAAGAGAAACTCGTGCTGTGCATGTACTAGGATGACCTACTTTCCAAATTTCAAGCCTTTATTTCTTATAGGCTCTGAGATCTTTGCGTTCATACATACAGCCAGACATGCGGATAGACAGACGGACAAGGCCAGATCGACTTGGCTATTGATGCTGATCACCCATTTTTAATGGGTTCAGGGTATAAAAAAACAGACTATAAAAAAATTATTAAAATCCATACCATAGACCATATGAAAAATTGCTCAACGCAGACCTCTGACAATCAGAAATATTAATAACCATAAACATGCTGGGAAGCGCACTAAAACTAATATCCGGCACCCAACATTGACTGTGAACAGATTAAAATTCGGCAAGGGCAACTAATTGATCCAGAAACAAGTAGGGGACTCTAGTCGTGAGCTCCCGACTAGGGGATAGCCTGAACCCTCATCTTGCCAAGTCGTCTGTCTGTCCGTTTGTCCGTATGTATGAACGCAATGATATCAGAACCTATAACAGCAAGAGAAAATTAAAATATATAACGTAGCTCCACCTAGTTCCCGCGCAGAACGAATTTATTTCCGATAATCGATAGTTTGCTCCGTTTACAAGAAATCGATAACAATCGATATTTAAATCCTGTATTTTGAGCAAATCTCGTAAGTTATAAGAGCTAAAGTCACCAAACTTGACATGTAGCTTTTTGAATAGTATATATATATTAAGTATCTTACATTTTATAGCCATCGCTATTCCTGCTACTACCACATAAGTATAAATTAAGTAAATAAACCAATTTATTTTTAATTTATTTTTATAACTGCTGAATCAATCGAGCAACTGATGTTAGTAGAACAGGGTTCAGGATATCCCCTAGTGGGGATCTCCCGACCTCTTAATTTTTTTTTTTATGAAAAGGACTTGCTTAAGCCAGACTAATATAAAAAGCGTCAAAAAGCCAATATTTTACATACCTTCAATGCAGACAGTCCAGAGAGTGCAGTTTCCGTAAGTTTATCGATCACTTGAAAAGTATTAGAGCACAAAATAAGCTCTTCAAGATTTGGAAGATGTTCAAACAAATCATCATTTAAGAAATGTAAGAGATTATATCCCAAATTTAGGGACCTTAGGTTTTTAAGCGGCTCAAAATCCTGTTCTGAAAATGGTCCTTTGAAAACATCAGGAAGTAAGTTCTTTGAAGTTAATTTGTTATTTGACAAATCAAGCCTGGAAAGCTCTGTTAAATTTTGAAAAGCTCCAATTGTAATCGACGATATTTGGTTATATCCCAAATACAGGTTTTTCACGCCGTAGGTTGGAAATTTAGGAATTGTCGTATAATTATTGTGTTCCATTTTAATAGTCTCAAATATAAGTTTATCGTTTTGAATGATTGCCCATTCATTTTCAGAAAACCACTCATTTAGCTTATTTGTGCAATCAATAAGACTATTTTCTGAATCGCAATTACATTTATTGCATACTATATTTTGTGGCAGCTCCTCCTGTAATAAAGAGCTGAGATTAATGAAAATAAAAGATTTGTATTTTGGATAGATTGAATATTTAAAACTACAATATACTTAATTATACTCTAAGCTTTAATTTATACGCGTTGGGTCTCCTAATGGTACCGCAGTACGAGCTATATTTTAATCATCGATATCAACCCCGTATCTATGCAATCGATATCGAAACCGAAATCAAAAAAGATGTACCTCGTATGCACTGACACAAATATTTGAGTTCAGCACTCTAGCTGCAACAGTCAGCGGTGGTAATCAGATACTTCTGTTAAGTCTTAAGTTTTCAATATCGCCTACGATTATGCTGTGTCGGCTTGCCAACCGTGACTTTGTAGCGTGTTATTTAGAGTATACTTCAATTGACTGGCTTTAGCTTTAGCTGCACCAATAGTGTAATTTTGCATTAAGTTCTTTCTCCGGCATTGCCGCAAACCTAAGTATATCATTTTATTTCATTGTTGCGCCACAAGCCTAGCGATTTTAGAGATTACAGCGATCTCAACCTAATCATTAGAGAAGCATCTGAAAATGTACTACCTCTGGACACCTGCGTGACGGCACACGCAGGCAAAAAAGTGATTTATATACACTGTACAGGATCGGAAAAGCCATTTTCCACAGTTTGGAAGTGATGGTAGCACAACAAAGGGTAAACTGCACAGCAAACTGTAAATAAAATTAAAACGCGATACAGCTAGGTACTGGCCGTTGATAGTTAGGCTCGGCGTTTCGCTGATGGTCGATAAATGATAAATTATTGAATTATAATAAAAATGCCTGTTACACATAAATAAATATCAGAAAACCATTACAGCACATTTTTAAAATTGTTAAAGGTTATATGACATAAAAAAACCAATGATTCATTTTATTCACTCAATGACTCACATTGAAATTTTTTTTAGTAACTTAAAACAATTAACAGTATAAATATATCATGTACATGTACACACATATAAAATATGTAACTAGAGTTTGTTAAGTCTTATATGCACAGGTTGTACAAGTCACGAGAAATAAGTACATATGCTAATATAAAATATAAAAATATATTAAAATGTACAGTGAACATTGAACAAGTGACATACATATATGTACACATATATACATATATGTATATATATGACTGGTATAGCGCTTGCGAATGATAAATACACAAGCATGTACGTATGCACATACATATACATATACATACATATATGAATACGTTTTTGCATTAAATTCCATCAATCTTACCTTTTTGAGTGTGTCTTTTGGTTTTGTTCCTTCAATTTCAGATCCTGGTATTGCAAATCCCAAATTTATTATTAAAAAGAGCACTGTTAAGATATAAAATATGTCTAAAACTGTCTTCATGATATATTGTAAGATTAACACCGTTTATTCAACAAGAGTAATTGTATATAACTGACTAACAAGTAAAGTTTTCATTTTGAGGCTTATTTCCCAAAAGATATCTAATCTTATCAGTTTTTGCGCGTAAAGGGCACAATCGCACGTTATCAGCAACAGGTAACGAATCGTTTTCAATGTTCAATTGATAAGTTTGGAAAGCTATGCATCAATATATTAAAACAGCTAATTTTCCATTTTATTCCTCGTATGCATACTTCAAGAATTGAAATTTAATTTAAAGTCCTGGTTTATATGCGTATGTATGTACATACATACATATGTATGTATGTAACAACTTGGAACCGCTCTCTTTTTGTTTAACCGCTAATCAAACAACAAACATATAGACTGGACAGTCAGAGTACGACGATGGGGCCTCTCGTTTTCTGTGCGGCTGGTCCAAAGTCGACTTCGTTTTTGTTTGGGTTCATAAAATGGCATCGCTGTTTTTTTTTTATTCCCTCGCACTGCTGGAAACTGCTTTGGCTTACTCTCAGTGCTCTTTCAATTTGTGTATTTACTGTTGTATTGTCTGTATGTGTATTTGTCCACACAAGCAAAAATGCCCACAAATTTAGTTTTTCTCATAAGTCGGTGGCTTTCTTCCCTTTTGAAGGGACGAGTAATATGAAATAAGGAAAGGGTTCGCCACGTCGTTGCGAAATTCTTGCATTTTAGGTCGATATCGTAGGTAAGGGTATCTAAGCGTTGCCATGTGTGCATTTAAAATATTTTGGACTCACGCATACTTGCATATTTTGTATATGAATAGAGGAATTTGTGCGCTTGTGTACCTATTGGTGGCCTCCTTGCCTGTCCCTCGCAAATTTAACAAGATTTGAATTTTTTGTGATTTCTGTATTTCGGGCACTAAAAACACACACACACAGATACATACAAATATGTTTGAATGGGGCGATCATGGGCGCAAAAAAAATGCATTATTGGCATGCATCTTGATTAAAGAAATTAAATGAAAAGGCTAATATGATTATTCAATAATATTATCAACATTATAAATATATAATCGATCCTTTGTATTTGGTACTTATATTAAAAGTTTTTAATTTTCGAACTAATTTCCGCTGCTCATAAAATCATTTAGGTGATCATTTTACCTACTAAAAGTTGACCCTTTCAGCCAAACGGTAATATTTTTCATTCATTCATCAATTCAAACCTGAACTCATAAAAATAATGGGCGCGCTCCAGACGCGTGCCAATAATTAATTTTCTTTTGCGACCATGATCTGCCCATTCACACATATTTGTGTGTGAGTGTGTGTGCCTAGCGCCCGAAAACAGAAATCACAAAAATTTCAAATCTTGTAAAATTTGCATCGGGGACAGGCAGGCAAGTAATCAACAGGTTAACAAGCGCAAAAATTGTTCAAATATGCGTGAATAGCGAGATAAACTGCAAGAATTTTGCAACGACGTGGCAAACCCTTTGATTTTTTCATATCACTGGTCCCATCAAAAGAGAAGAAAGCCAACGACTTTTAAGAAATTGTGGGCATTTTTGCTTGTGTGGACAAATACACACACAGACAGTTCAACGGTAAATACACAGATTGAAAGAGCACTGAGAGTAAACCAAAGCAGTTTCCTGCAGTGCGAGGGAATAAAAAAAACAGCGATGCCGTTTTATGAACCCGAACAAAAGCGAAGGCGACTTTGGACCAGCCGCACAGAAAACGATCGCCGTACTCTGATTGTCCAGTCTATATGTTGTTTGGTTAGTGGTTTAACTCATGCGAAGCACACAGTTTAAGAACAGCTTATTGTAAATAAGACGAGAAAGTAAGGACATTTTTGGTAGAAGATTTAATGCTCTTTTAGACTTTGGCGTCTTCTGGCTAACGGTTTTCCAGATACTATGTGAGGATAGCGAAGTTAGTAAATGACTCTGATTCCGGAAACAGAACAAAAACACACACACTAAACATTGTAACATATTATCAGAAAATATAGACGAAAAGAAATTCAAGCGAGAATAACGTGTTTTTTTTAAGTGAATAAAAATTATATTATTTCAATGAAGAAAAGAGCCCACCATAGGAACAGCAAATCGACGATATTTTATCTAGAAGCGTAGTGGACGTCCTATTACAACACATTCAAAATCTAATGTTTTAACCGACTCTTTCTTTAGTGCTATAGATATGCTATATTGAAAACAGTTGACTCATATGTAAGCAGCATTTATTACGGCCTTGGTCTACATACATGAATATATCTATATTGATAAACAATATTGTTTTACAATGCTGGTTTTTGCGACGTTTTCATTAAATAAATATTTGTTTAGCTCGCTCGCAAAAATAATTTACATATGTATATTAATTTTTTTACACCCTGAACCCATTGATAATGGGTAAAATGGGTATTATATATGAAAATGTATATTAGTTTATATAATTAAAAAAATTAAAACTTGTGGTGGCTTCAAAAGATTTACATGCGGTTTAGTACGTATCGCATTGATATAATTCAACAACTGAACTTAAGCCTACATTACGCTAAGGCGGCGAAGCGAGGCGTATTCGCTCCAAAGCGAGTGATAAAGCTTTATCGCGCACTCGCTCCGCCGTAAACCTAATTTACACTAGACTTAATGTTTCATTTTCATTTTTTTATTTAATGCGCGGATCTTCGCCAACACTGGCCACCATGGATAGCAGAGCCATTTTGTGGATCGGCCTTTTAAAATTTCCGCCACTAGCCGTCCTAATGTCTGCTACTCTGACGACTCCATCCTCTCCTGCGTGTACTGCCGTTACTTTGCCGATCAGCCACTGCCGGGTCGGCAGATTGTCCTCGGTGACGACCACCAGCTCTCCCACGAGACCGAGCACATACTCCTTTGACCATCGCCGCCAAAACTGTTGCTTGAGCAACGAGACAGCTCGCGATCGATACAAGCAGGTGAGACCCAGCTGGTCGGGGGTCCCCTCTGCCGACAGAGCCCTCAATGGGCCTCCCACCAGTAGGTGGCCTGGCGTTTAAGCCTCGCCATCGCTTGGGTCCTCGCTTATTGTTCCCAGGGGCCTGGAATTGAGGACTGCTTCCACTGCGACAAGAGTCATCTGCAGCTCCTTGGCCGTTAGCAGCAGGCTGCCTACCGTCCGTAGGAGTAGGTGTTTTCTAGACTTCACAGCTGCCTCCCACAGACCCCCGAAGTGCGGAGCTCTTGGCGGTATGAACGCAAATTCACATCCGCTTTTTGGTGCGCCTCTTCCGCGATTCAGCTCGCAACTCCAGGAACTGGAAATGGACGAACTGTGGGACTCCTCGACGACCTTTGAAAAGCCATTAAAAATGTATTAATGGATAAGTCAGATACTAGTTCTAAGTAAACCGCTTTGGAGGCGAAGCAAACAAACAGTGCTTTGTACGACTAATACGTAGGCTTTGCACGCATTCGAAATGTCGTCTAATTGGGCCACAAAAGTCGACGCCACAGATAGAAAACGGGCGGAGCGCTCGAAGTCGATCTTCTGATAAATATTCCATAATTTGTGGTAGCAGAGGTTTGCATTTGAAGCAACGGATACATGATCTCAGTGTCTGACGACAGATCTCTTGAGCATTGATTAGCTAAAGTCGCTCACGAAGAAAACTCACAAGTGCTCTTGGGCCAGCAAATGCAGGAATTTAATTAAGCTTCTAGCGAATTGTGAGCTTTTTTTTTTAAGTAGCGGAAACTTGGCATCAATTGAAATATGAGCATTTACAAATCGTCCCCCTACTCGCAACAACGAAAAGGAGCACCAAGATCCATTATAGTCATCTATAAATGGAATGATACGCTACAGGCTACAACCAACGCGAGTGCCTTTTCGAACTCTATCGTTGTCATCTTTAAATTCAACTCGTTGGATGACTTCAACTATTTTCTCGTAAGCTCCTTTCCTTTCGAGCGCCTTAGGGATACTTTCAAATTGTTCTTCTCCATTTTTACATAAATCAAGCGGCACCCATAAGCAAACACTCTCAGCAGCCTGACATGTGATGAGAGTTTCCAAGATATCTGGTCGGTCTACCACAGCTGCTAGTCCAACAGCTGATTTGCGTACTTCTAGAGTTCATCTTTTGTCAGATGCTGGTTAACCGGCTCCCGGATCCTCTTGGTTTCTTCAAAAATGAACCACATCGACGCAAATAATTCATCAACATCGCAGCCTCTTGAAACAATATCTGCTGGGTTTTGCTTAGTAGGTACATGGCGCCATTCAGCTTTCTCTGTCCATTCTTGGATTTCAGCCACTCGATTTGACACCAATGTTGTCAAAGACGAAAATTATGACCGAATCCAATGAAGCGTGACTTCAGACCGAGGAACTGTCTGTTCAATCGGTAATCTTATGAGATTTCTGACTCGATAACAAAGATCTGCGAGAAGGTGAGCCTCGCACAGCCCAAGTCGGGAAAGAGTCTTCGTCTTGCGAGGGGCTACTTTAAATTTGGATGTCAACAACGAAATACGACAATCTTCCGAAGTATGGCTGCGTATATACACGCATGCGCTAAACGCTCTTATTGAGACGTCGGCGAAGCCATGTATTTCGATCGGTGAATTTATCTTTATTTGTTGCAACTGAATCAGAGTAGATTTCAGTTGCTGCCACGAGTTATTGAACTTAGAGGGACAGATTCATCCCAATCTAACTTCTGAAGCCATAGTTCTTGGAGTAGGATTTTTGCCCTGCCAGGCCAAGCGGGTCAAAGAATGTTCCGTTTTGTCGCTCTAAGACCCATGATGAATCGTCAATCTTAAATTGAAAGGCATCTTCATTCGGCAACGACAACACGCCAAGTGTTTTGGTTGCGTCAGACTCTGAGATCGTTATCAGCTTGGCTGCGTTTGTTGCGGAAAACTCAGGAGAATTCGAAAACCATTTGGTTTGTTCAAAACCTGCGCTTTTGAGTATTTGCGACACTGCAGACTTAATTGTCCGCAGGTTCTCTAAGCATGCAGCACCAGTTAGTAAATTATCGACATAAAAGTCCTGATAACGTCAGCAGCTTTAGAGTGTGATAACTCGCTCATATCACTTAGCTTGGTTAAACACCGTATTGCCAAAAACGGGGCTGGCGCAGTGCCGTAAGTTACGGTGTTTAACCTGAAGGACCGGA